AGCCAGCAATATTATAAAATAGAGATTATAAGTTCTTCGTAGCTCATTATTCTTTTTAATATTTGATGGAATCTCTTATTCTTTAATCTTTCCTTTAATCAATCGTTCTACAGAAACATAAATGTAAAATTTGAGAAAAAACATATAAATTTACGAATATTCGTCATCTGACTATCTGATATATTTTTTATTCCATACTCGGTTTTTAATTTTTCCAGAAAAATATTTGGAACTATAATACCGTTTTGAAATTTTTAAAAAACATGGAAATCTCTGCGTTATCCTAAGATATTTTCATACATTTTTTATACTCTTTTTTAACAAATCAAATTTGCATCAGTGGGTGTTTTTCTTTTACACAGATCAAATGCATTAACTCTCCGGAATGGTCAGATTTCCACTTAGACGTGTTGTCCTTCCCGAGATTATGCATTGACTTTCCGAAATGGTTGACACTAGATTTGTCCTTAAGATTTCTATATAGGACATTCGAATCAATGTTCATCTACAAGTGTGATTTACCGACTAACAACAGTTTAGGCGAAATCACGCAAACGCTAGGAATCACCGGCGTGAAAAAGCTGGTCTTTCAATCGAACAAGAATTTGAGCTTCGCCCTGGTCAAGCATCATTTGGATGACTTCGAAAATTTGAAGTCTCTGTCCTTAACGAACAACAATGTGTCCTACGCAGATAAAGATCTATTAGCTGGTCTAGTCAACTTAACGGACCTCAACTTGCGCGACAACAATTTACACCAAGTCACAGGATTTTTCAACTACACTCCCGGACTGCAGTTTCTCGAATTGGAAGACAATGCTCTGCAATCGATAGAACCAGGCACATTCGACAATCTGAAAAATCTGACGTTTCTCAACTTATCGGTAAATCATTTAACCGATCCTCGGTCGGGAATTTTCGACGAGCTCGTCGCTCTCCGAGAGCTCGATCTCAATACGAATGACATGGTCAGGTTGCCGGAATACATCTTCGCAAAGCTCAAAAACCTCGATGTTCTCAACTTATCTGAAAACAACTTCACAAATTTACCGAGGAATCTGTTACAAAATAACACGAAACTACGCAATTTCACGCTGTTTGACAACAAGCGAAATATGACAACCTTGCCAGATGCATTTTTTGCTAATTTAACGAAACTGGAGATGTTGAAATTGAAAAGGAACGGATTTGTCACGCTACCGGAAGATCTTTTCTGGGGATGTACTTCGCTAATTAATATCAATTTGGAACAAAACTATCTTCGAACCTTACCTAGATACATATTCCGGGATTTGAAGG